TTGCTAACAAAAAATCAAATTATGTTTCCTCACCATAATCAAGCCCAATTATGTTCCATTACGTTAAAAACTCCACTATATATGATTGAAGCACAGATTTGTTGGGACCTACTACCTAAATTCATATTTTGTTTGAACGTTTTTTTCTCTCTCTTTTTTGTATTTTTAAAATAATATTAGCAAGACTCCAAAAAAACAAGGGATTGTGTATCGTATTTGTGGTTAGAGTGTATTCATGGTTCGAATATGTCTAATCCATCAAATTAAATCCTAACCAATAATTTGTGTTATCAGATTACAAAAGCCCTTTTTCTTTTCTTCTGAAATTAGAATAATATTTAGTTTTGTAGAGTCTAAAAAAAAAAAACATTACTGTGTTTTGTTATCTGCTTCAAACTGTAAAGGTTGGTCCATCCACATGTAAATGACAAGAAAGAGAGACAAGTGTGCCCGAAAATTAAAAGGAATCTTTGTCTTTTCTTCTTTTGGTAAACAAAAATGAATATCTTTCTAAAGTGTTCAAACTTTTAATTAAAAGATACATATATTTTTGTGACCAAGAAGAAAAAAGATACAAATATTTTTATCAAAAATGTTATATACACTTATTTAAATAAACTTCTGATTTGAAGTGGGTCCTACTCCCTCTCTTCTCTTATGTTGTTTACACGAACGTAACTGGGATCGTGATGAAAATGAACTTGGATAATGATTGAATCGTACTCAAAAGCACTTTCCTTAAAGAGTATTTCGACCCTTATCAATGCCTTGGGTTACACGAAATCCCTTGTAGGATAAGACAACCAAAGTTTCCTCTTATTCTAGGCTAAGATACAAGAGAGACAAATAGAGTTTTTATGTTTTGCTTTTATGTTTTGACCAAAAATTGAGAATCCTTGGTCTTGTGAATCTCTCACGTTTTTTCTTGTTTTCTTTTTGATGGAAAGGAACAAGTTTTTATAATAGTTCAAAGGTTACGACGTATGTTTGCAACCGTTCGTTTAAAAGTAACCATAACATCAACAATTGCAATGGTTCATAAATAACTGCCGATTCACTTAAATCTCCAGCATTTTATTCATTTCGTTTAGAAAACAAAAAAAAATACAAATATAAAATGCATTTTCCTTTACGTGTAAACAGCCGAGAAATTGTTGGTCTTCGATACAGAGACATTCTTCTTTGGGACACTCCCATTTTTTATTTCTTATTTCCATTATCGATTCTTTTGTGGTCCTCTTTCATATTTGTAAGTATACATTTAATGTGTTGTGTCATGTGTAACTCTCACACTGGGACCTGAGCAT